AGTACGAGGAGTACAGCGTGCGCGGGTTCCCCGCGGCCGCGCTGGAGCCGCTGCAGCGCGCCTACGCGCGGGCGCTGGCGCAGTACGCGGGGGCGCAGTGGGCGGAGAGCGCCCGGGCGTTGGAGGCCAGCCTGCGCCTCCACCGCCTGCTGCGCGACAGCGAAGCCCACTGCCACCGCCGCTGCGCCGCGCCCGCGGAGGGGGACCCCGCGCGGGGGGACCCCGCGGAGGGGGAGCCCGCGGAGTGGGAGTGGGAGAGGGAGATGCAGCTCTTCGGGAGGCTGCTGCGCCGGGCCGGCTGCTTGCGCGCCTGCAAGCGCGACCTGCCCGTCTTCCAGCTGCGCTACCCCCCCGCGCAGACGCTGCGCGACTTCCAGCGCCGCCTGCCCTACCAGTACCTGCACTACGCGCTCTTCAAGGTGAGGCGGCCCCGCGGGCGCGCAAATGCCGCGCAACGTGGCTCGTGGCGGGGGGGGGGGGGGGGGAGGGGGGGGGGGGGCGGCCCGTGCCTCCGTCCTGCACCGCTCTGGGCTGCGCCTCCTCTTTCACCCGCCGTCCTGAGCCTCTCCGCTCTGCGCACCCCCCCCCGGCACACCCCCATCCCCGTCTCATCCTGCACCCCTGTCCTGTGCCCCTCGTCCTATTCCTCCTCTGCGACACCCCCATCCTGCATCCCCATCCTACGCCACCAGCCTGCACCCCCCGAACCCTGCTCCCCTCTATCCTGCACCCTGCTGTCATGTGCTTTCCCATCCTGCACCCCCCCTTCCCGCAGTCCCCATCTGGCATTCCCCCCGCCCCTGGCTCCTCCATCCTGCCCCTGCACCGTGGCACGTCAGCCTCATCTGGGATGCATCAGGCAGGACGTGAGGGGTGCACCCGAGACTGGGGGCCGCTGTGGTTGTGTCCCCGCACCCCACCTTGTCTTGCCCTGGTCACCCAAGGTCCCCCTGGCCAGGCAGAGCCTTGCCTGGGGAGTGGGACGCAGGGGCTGGCCCAGCCGAGAGGCTGGAGTTGGCGGGTCCGGTGCCACCGTGATTGCAGCGGGACACGTGCCTGGATGCTCAATCAGGGAGAAGCGCTTTCTCAGGCTCACGGTGCAGACGTGGAGGAGATTTCATAAGGGATCGCCCTGGGGTGACCCTCACTTGGCTGAAGCTGCTCTAGCAAGAGGACGCTCCCCTCCCCAGGCATCGGTGCTGGTTGGGGTCCCAAGCTGCGCTGCTGGCCAGCTGCCGGTGCGGATGCTGCTTTAGTGCTTAGCGCTTCTGCCCCGCTCACCTGGCAGTGGTGAGGGACAGCCTGGCCTAGATCCTTAATGCCTTTTTCTCTTGCTCGCTCTGGCCAAAACCCATTTCATGGACAGTTCGTTCAACCCCCCCAATCTCGCTCCCCTGAAGTTGCAACCTGAGAGCTCATAAAGCAGCGGGGGAGCGGGGGCAGCTCGCCCGGGCTGGTGGCAGTGCCCAAGATGAGCGGATGCGTGGCTCAAACCCACACCACGTGGATCACTCCTGGCTGGATGCGGGGGTCCAGGAGGGGTCGAGCTGTCCCCATGCCCACGACGGGCACAGGGGGAGGTCGGTGTGGCTGGATTTATCTGCATTGTCCGTGGTCCCGGATCCTGTCTGTCCATCGCTGCCAGCAGATGATTGGGCTCGGGGCTGGCACTGTGGGTGCCGGGCTGTTCCCTCTTGAGGACCAGCCTTCTGCCCTGCAGCCCCGGGGTCTGGCTGGGTGCTGAGCCCCCCGCAGCCGCAGTGTCATCCCTGGCTGCCCCTGCGGCAGGCTGCGGCACCAACTCTTCCTCCCTCCCCAGTCAAATAAGATTGAGAAAGCGGTGTCCGCTGCCCACACCTTCCTGCAGAAGAACCCCAAGCACGAGATGACCTTGAAGTACCTGAACTATTACAGGACGATGCTGGATGTGGATGAATACCTGGTTGACCTGGAGGCTCAGCCCTATGAGGTGAGGAGGTGATGGGGTTGGGGCGGGAGAGGGGCTCCCCGGGGCTCGGTGCGCGCCTGGTCCTGCCGAACCCCGAGGGAAGTGGCTCTCCCTTGCTGAGCCCTGGTCGCTCACCTCCTGCCCCCAAAAGAGCACCTCTGGGGGGCCCGTGCTGAGGACAGAGCCGCCTCGGGGAGAGTGGGGCAGGTCATTGCTGCTGGAGGGCAGAGACGGGCTGTGGTGCCTGGCGAGGAGGTGAGCGGTGCCTGCTTGGTCCCCGGCAGCCGATATTCGTGCGGTCGGTGAAGCTGTACAACAACGGGGATTTCCGGAGCAGCGCGGCCGACATGGAGCAGGCGCTGACTGAGTACTACAAGGCGTACGAGGACTGCCTGGCTGGCTGTGAGGGTGCCTACGAGCTGCAGGAATTCAAGGACTTCTACCCCTCCATCGCAGGTGACTGGGCAGGGGACTGGGGGCCAGCAGGCTCGGGGGGGGAGCGGGCCAGGGGCACAGCACCTGACGCCTCTCCCCAGACCACTTCGTGAGCGTGCTGCAGTGCAAGGTGGACTGCGAGACTGAGCTCACCCCCAATGTGGGTGGCTACTTCGTGGAGAAGTTTGTGGCCACCATGTACCACTACCTGCAGTTTGCCTACTACAAGCGTGAGTGCCAGCGGGAGCAGGGGACTGTGGCCCTGGGGCACCCCAGGGTGCTGTGGGCCCCCGGGGGGGGAGTCACCCCCCCCCCCCCCCGCATCACCCGGTGCTGCTCCTCACAGTGAACGACGTGCGGGACGCGGTGCGCAGCGTCTCCAGCTACATGCTCTTCGATCCGGACGATGCCGTGATGCAGCAGAACCTGGTCTACTACCGCTTCCACCGTGAGCGCTGGCGCCTGCAGGAGGAGGACTTCAATCCCCGGCCGGTGAGGACCCCCCAGACCCCCGTCCCGTGGCTCTGCCGGCAGCAGAGGGGCTGACGCAGCCCCCGCTCCCTCCCCGTGCCCAGGAAGCCGTGCGCTACCACAACCGGACAGCCGCCCAGAAGAAGATGCTGGACTTCGCCAGGCAGTACCTGCAGGCTGACGACGAGGTAAATGACATCCCTGGCACGGATGCAGCCGGGTGCTTCTGGGGGTGCTGGGTGGTGCGGGTGAGTGCTGTGGGTACCCTTGGGTGGGGAGTCCGACCCCCAAGCCAGCCCTGGAGAAGAGGCTGCGGACGGGGCCGCTGAGCCCTGCTGCCTCCTCCTGCCCGTCCCGTGCTGCAGATGGAGGTGGACAGCGGCGAGGAGACAGAGGCACGGAACCTGCCCTCTGACGGCGAATTCGAGGGCGAAGGCGACTACGAGGAGGGCTTCTTCGCGGAGTGGTGGCAGGAACCCAAGACCAAGGGGGACAAAGCCGACCAAGGTTCCTGATGCCAGGGGCCGTGCTGTGGGGTGGGGGGTGGCTGCTGCCCGCACCCCGGTTCCACTGAGCCCTCCTTGTTTGCAGAGACCCTGCGATGAGCCAGGCGAAGGGGTGCCCGGCCCCGACAGAGCTGGATGGCGGTGGCCCTGCGACGCCATCCCAGGGATGCCGGGCTTTGGGCTCCTGCCAGCCATCGTGCAGAAACTTGGGCTCGCGGGGAAGGGCTGATCCTGCCCGGTGCCCTGCGGCAGGGCTGCATTTGCCATCTGGACATCTGCTGCTCTGAGTGCAGCCCAATTCCCATCGGTGGAGCATCAGCACTGCCAAACCTCCCTGCCTGCCCAGGAGCTCCCCCGGGGCCACCCCTGTCCCTGATGTCCCCAGGAGCCCTGGCCAGCGGCGGTGCCCCGCAGCACTGGGGGGTACTGTGTCCCTCAGCTCCTCCCCAGGACCTGCGGATGGTGTGCCAGGACCGACCCCCGCCTTGTCTCGAGGGGTTTGAAGGGCTGCCCCTGCTCTGGGAGCAACACACGGTGCTGCTGGAGCCGGGCGTGCATGCCAATCCTGCCCCTCCTCAGGGCTCCCCGGGGCTTCTACCCTGGTGCCTCCAGCCTCTCAGCCCACTAGCCAGCCCCCTTTGGAGCCCACGGCCTGGTGCTACAACGGGGCTCCCGGTGTGCCGGCGTCCCCATGCTGCCGCGTGGCTGCAGCCTGGCAGGGCTGCATTGCCCGTGCCCTGCGTGTGCCTTGAATTTCTGCCACACCAGCCCTCTGTAGCCTTAAGCTCCGTTAATTTAATACTTCCCGACTTGCACAGTCGCTTTTTTTTTTTATATTTACTGGTGCTGAACTTTTAATAAAATCCGGACCGGTCTTTTTATGGCTGCCTCTGCCTCCGGGCTCCCTGGGGCTAAGGTGTGCTGCCACTGCGGGAGCCGGGTGCTCAGGCTGGGAGAGGCCCTGCTGTGGGAGGGGGAGGGACGGGTTGGGGGGCTGGATGACCCCATAAAGTGGGGGAGACCCCACAGGGGGCTGAGGGGGAGGTTGTGGGGCTGGGGAACCTTGAGGGCCATGAGAGCAGCCAGGCTCTTGTGGGGCTGGGGGGTCTCTGAGTGGGCCACAACCATGCCGGGATCCTTATGGGGATGTGGGACCCCCCGTTGTGCAGGAAAAGCTGCCAGGTGGTATGGGGGGGCTGCAGGGGGGGTTGGGGGGCAGCATGCCTCACCCCAATACGGCTGTTCCGGGTGTGATGTGCATCACCTGCTGGTTGTTTTGAGGTGGGTGCATCACCCCGACACTGGTCCTTGGGGGGTGCATCATCCTCCTGCTTGTCCAGAGGGTGCAGCCTGCGTTCCCCGATGCGAGTCCAGGGCGGCAAGGTGGGACGACCCCCTCCCGCCGGCATCGGGGCATTTTGGAGCCCGTTTCGGAGGCTGCCGTCACTGCGGACAGGCCTGCGCCTGCTCTGAGCACAGGGTGTCGGACAGCGTGCGGCCGCCTCGCTCCTCCCTGCCGCGCCGGGTGCGTTCCTGCTCCCCATGGAAGTTGGCTGCGAGGACTGAAACCGAGAGAGGCTGAATCACGGCGTTCGCCCCGGGGGAGGGAAGGGAAGGGAAGGAAGGGGGCGGCGGGGAGGCTGCCAGCACTCCACCCTGCCCTGCCTTGGAGCTCCCATTTACCAGGGCTTTCCCAGCTCTGCCCTCCCTGCGTGGAGCCGGGCACCGGGACAGGGGATGGGGCTGAGCCCCCAGACCCGTGGGCAGGGCTCGGGGCTCGGGGCAGAGCTAAGCGGAGGCAGTGCTGGCAGTGGGGGCAGCCCGTTGCATCTCTGCCCGGGGCAAGGCTGTCCTGTCGCCCAAGAAGGAATGGGGTTTGTCACCGATGGGTCATGGCCACCCTTGGGAGGGGAGCACCGGCCCGGCGGGGTGCGGCCGGCGGCACTCGCACCTGGATCAGCGGGAAGCGCTCAGCCCAGTGCACTGGCGTCGCGGCCCGGGAAGCAAAGGCTTGTTTATCTTCCCAACAAGACGGGCGAGGGTGGCACAGGGCCCACGGGGCCTCCGCCCTGCTCTGACGCGCGCCTGGGCACGGCGTCCCCTCGCCAGCCCCAAACTCACGTTGGGGCACACGGTTGCCTCGCTCCCGCTCCTCTGCCGGCACTGGGTGAAGCCCCTTGCAGGCCTGGGGTCCCATCCGGGCTCCCACCTGCAGCTGTTGGGTGCAGAGGTGCCGGCAGGGTCTGGCACTCCTGGTAGGGCCGGGCAGGAGTAGCAGCTCTGCGACCGGCGGTGTGACCCCGGCAGTGGCTGGGGCTGTGAGCATGGCCACCGTCCCCCGAGGCGTGCAGGGCCGGCAGAGCCGCGCTGCGGGGAGGTGCCAGGAGTGCAGAGGTGGGGTGCGGGGGGGTAAGCCTGCAGGACTCCCGTGGGTTAACACCAGGAAGGCAGCGCTGCGCTTCCCTGACTCCCCTGACCTTGACTGCGAAGGAACGTAAATGAGCTTTTCGGCTGTCATCTCAGCTCTACCGTGCCGTGCCGTGCTGTGCCATGGGCCCCTTTCCTCCTTGTGCTGGGAGGGCTCTCGCTGTGCTTTGGATCCCCGGCTCTGCGCACAGTGATGAAATCCCGTTTTCTTGCAGGGGCGGTTGGAGCTCCGTCTCCCACCTCCCTCCAGAGCTGTGATTTCCCAACAGAGTTGGTGCCTGCAGCCAGGTGTGGCAGAGGACTGCGCAGGGGCTGATGGGGTGTGTGTGTGTGTGTGTGCAGGATGTGTCCCCTCACCCCCATCCCCAGATCCGGGTAGCAGGAGGCCCCGGGGATCCCTGCCGTGGGCTGGGACGTGCCCTGTCACTGGGTGCTCATCGGCGACTCGGGTGCCGGAGGCTTCACCCAGGGCTGGCGGGGAGCGGGTGAGCCGGGACCAGGCAGCAGCACCCAGCTGGACCAGTCTGGCCAGGGACTGGGGTGACACGGGCTGCCGTCACCCAGCGCCTCTTGCTGCCGCTGCCGGGCTCCTGCCTCCGTTTCCCCACCGGGGCGGCGTGGAGCCCCCTTCCCGGGGTCGGGGGGTTCTCCAGGGCCGGACCCTGCCCCGCCACCGCGCTACCGGCTCCGCACCCGGGCACCCACCGATGCCAACACCGTAAAGGCCGCAGGAGCCAGGGGTGCCCCACGCGGC